TCTTTTTATCACAAACAGACTTAACTAATCAGACTTTTTCCATATTGTCAATAAAATCAATGCCCGATTCACCTGACTTGCTTTTATCACTCTTTACTTCTTCAAGCTTCTCTGATGTGTCATTTTTATCATCATCAAACGAAGAATCAAGTTGTTCTGCTGAATCTTTTTCATCACTTATTTCACTATCTTTAAAGGAGTTTTCTTGAACATCTTCAAATTCAATTATTGTTTTGTCACTATCTGTGCTTGTATTTACATCTGTATCATTGGAACTTGGGGAAGTTTCTTCAGGATAATACTCTGTTTCAACTTTTCCAAGCAATGCTGTCAGGTTATCATCCTTATTTTTCACTAAACTATCTACTTTACTGATAAGGTCATTCAAACCTAGACAACCAATTGTTGATGAGGGGTATTTGTATTGAAAGTCACTTGGGAAAGGCAATTTGGATTTTTCAATAATAACTTTAGTAATTTGGTCATCAAAATCTAATTTTTTCACAGGACTTGGACTGTCATCACTAGGTCCAGACATGGATTCTAGTTTTTTCTTTTCTTTTTTAGGTGAAGCACTATTACTTCTTGAGCGAGACTTTTTCTTTTCATCTGAGCAAGTTTCTTTGTCCTGAGATTTTTTCCTTGGAGATTTCTTATCTTTATTAGTAGATGCCATTTTCTTTTCTGGTGACTCTGACTGTTTAGTTTTCTTCAAAGGTGACTTCTTAGATGATTGCTTATTTAACATTTCAATGTTTCTGTTTACCACATCATCAATCACTTCATCAACATGAGAATCATTAATATCTATGACCTGATTGGTTTCTCCAATATCACTCTTTACATCACACTCAATTTCAGCTTTATCTATCTTTGATTTCTTTTCATTTCCCTTTTTCTTAGCCTTAGGACTTTCCTTTTCATCTAAATGTAATTTGGGAGACCTTTTCCTTCTTACAGGACTTGGGCTTTCTGACGATAACCTTGAATTTTTACCAACAGCAAGTTTGTCATTGTCTGATGAAATTTCTTTTAAAGTGGCAGGTGAATTTTCGCTTTCCCCTTTTTTTTTCCTTGACCTAGGGCTTTTGGATGTTTTTCTGTCATCTTTTGATGGTGTTATCACAATATTTGGGGTAGCATTTGTGTCACCACCTGGATTAGATTCTGATATTTTTCTCTCCCCTTTAAATGGAGTTGATTCAGCAGATTTTGGTTTTCTTCCTCTTTTCTTTGGTGAATTTGTTTTTTCTTTTTCTGCTGTATCTTTAGCACATGCAGTATCACCTTTGCCTGTATCAATAGTTTTACTCTTGGGTTTTGCATTTTCTGTTTCAGTATTTTCTGTTTCAGAGATTAGAGAATCACCATGACTTATGTTGGTATGTTTCTTGGTCACTTTATCCTCTTCATGTCTAACTGCTTCTTTCTTCATTGCAATATTTCCCTTTTTCTTAACCTTTACTGACATATCAGAAACCAAATCATCCTGTCTAGCAGAAGTTTGAGCTTTGCTATCAAGAGAAGATTTTCCATCAATGACAGTGTCTTTTGAAGGTTTTGTGTATGTTGTCCTTATAAATGGGGAATCTTTAGTACCAGAAACAGTGGCACTATTGCGGACTGGAGATTGTCTTTTCGGTGACCTTGCTCCTACTTGTTTCATTTTAACAGAATATCTTTGTTCACTTTGCTTTGTAGAAATTCCGTTTTTGGTACACTTCTCTTTTTTTAAACAATCTTCCAAACAAACAACAGCCTGCTTACATTTTAAGTATTCTTTTTTTGTTTGAAGTCCAAAAGATTCTAAATCATTAAACTTAACTTCTCTTGGAATTTTGTTCAACACAACTAACAATTGTTTTTCAAAATCTGAAACTGCCTGTTCTTTGTAACAAGTTGGGTCATTCACAGTAGAAAGACCTAATAAATCTGAACTGTTGTTTGAACCTAATGTAGAACCTTGAGATGACCTGATTTTCGGTGTACGTTTCGTGTTATCTGGGAACTTTTCTACCTCTCTTGACTTATTACCAGGAATGTGTCTTAAGGAATACTTTTTGCCTGAAACAAGATATGAAAAAGTCTTAAAACATTAAGGCATGTCATTAATTTACCTATTAGCAGAACAAATAATGGTTGAAAAAGTAAATATAAGAAATTACACACCAACATAAGAATGAGTTGAGCAAACATTTTTCATTTATGATCAACTGGTTTGGAATCTAAAAGGCTCTACATCAAGATCAGAAGAAACAGATGTCATGGTTACAAAAGTTCGAAAGTCAACACTTAACACATACAACAGCTAATAGTATGTTAGCAACATTTGTGGTGCCAACTCACATTTTCTCCCATAATTTTGATGACTCGTATTATAATCAATAACCTAATAATGTTACAGAATACATTCTGAAAACAAGGTATTCATATCTATTTTCAATCTGTAGCTTTAGTGCATCTATGAGATAAAATAACATGAATTTTAATTTTCTCAAAAGAACATTTTATTGCCTAGGACAGCTTTTGTCTAATGAAAATCTTACTTGCTGTAATCAAAAGGTCTCAAGTCTAAGGGAAACCTAAATTTACTACTAATAAAAGGCATTTAGTTTAAGGAAAATCACATTTACTGCTAACAAAAGGCATTTAATTTATATAAGATCATTTTTATGTTTTGTGTAGAGTACTATTATAGGCTTATAGAATAGTGAGAAACATAATACCTAAGGAACATAATATATACCTTAGGATCATGTAATACCTAAGGAACATGTTAACACCTAAGAAATACATTAATACCTAAGGAACATGTAATACCTAAGAAACACACTTTCGAATCCATTCCTGGAACAAGCCAGAATTAAGCAATAGTGTTGGGCATTGCTGCTACAAATGTGGAACAATATTATCACAATATTTCAATTGTATAACATACAGCATCATGATACTTACATTTAGACAAAGGGAATGCAGTTTGTAACTTTCAAAATTTTGTAAATTAAAATCTACTTAATTTTATCTGAAGTTATGACTGTTCTTGTAATAATCAACTGTATAAAAATACCTGTACATTAGTTTAAATTTACCGTTTGTTTTTGTCGATGAAATAAAACCAGTACAAGAATCTGTTCTACTTTTCTTCACACTAGTGTAACACAAAGTCTCACTGAAAAAATAAATACAGTTTACATATTTAATATGGTATTATTCAGATATGTTGAAGAAATACTGGAGATAAGAGAAAGTCAAAATAAAACACCATAATTTACACCATACTATCTGCCTAGGGTTATACAATCTGATGAAACATTTAAACCAGATTATTCTTATATTCTAATCACTGCAAAAAAACTACGAGATATTCTACAACTGTACGAGATATTCTGCAATGGTATAACTTGTGTACAAATTTTCTACATTCGCAAAAATCAATTTAAACATTCAAATTTCTCTAGTAAGATTCTAAACAACAGACATGAGCAGTTTTTCTTAATGAGATCTCTCATCCTATGAAGTTTAAAGACCATAGCTTTTATACTTTAGGAGAAATGGCCTGGACAAAAATACAGTATGAAAATTAACAAAGGGCAATAACTAAAAAAAAAAAGAAATGCACAGTACCGGTTCTTGAGCATTGCATTTTTTCTTAATGAGATCTATCATCATATGAAGTTTCATGTCCATAGTTTTTATACATTAGAAGAAATGGCCCGACAAAAATAAAGTATGAAAATAAACAAAGGGCAACAACTCAAAAAATAAGAAATGCAGAGTACCAATTCTTGTGCACTGCACTTCTTCTTATTGAGATCTATCATCCTATGAAGTTTCAAGTCCATAGCTTTTATACATTAGGTGAAATGACCCGGACAAAAATAAAGTATGAAAATTAACAGAGGGCAATAACTCAAAAATTAAGAAGTGCAGAGTACCGATTCTTGGGCACTGCACTTCGAGTCATTATAAGAAGCATTCATACTAAGTTTGAAGTCAATCCGACTTATAATGACTGACTTATGCTCTGGACAAGCTTAAGGGGACGCCAACGACGACGCGAACACCGCCGCCGACAAAAGTTACCCCTATATGTCGCCTTTTTCAAGGCGACACAAAAAGTACAAAAAAGGGCAATAAATCTAGATAGAGTAACAAAGGGCAATAACTTTAGATAGAGTAATAGTTTTTGTGCATTGCACTTTCTCTTATTGTGCTTCACCATTGTATGAAGTTGTTTTGAATTCCAAAAAGTGGTTTTCAAGTTATGCTCCAGACAAGGAAAAGTTACAAAGGGCAATAACTCTGTAATTAGTAAAGATGGAGTTATGCTTCTTGTGCACTGCACTTCCTCTCAATGTGCTTGACCATTGTATGAAGTTATATTGAATTCTAACCATTAGTCTTCATTTTATGGTCCGAATAAAAGAAAGCAATGGAAAAGTAACAAAGGGCAATAACTCTGTAATTAGTGAAGATGGAGTTATGATTCTTGTGCACTGCACTTCATGTCAATGTGCCTGACCATTGTATATTCATCTCAATGTGCCTGGCCATTGTATGAAGTTGTATTAAATTCCAACCATAAGTCTTTAAGTTATGCTCCGGACAAGGAAAATGCAACGGACAGCTGGACCGACCGACCACCGAGTGACTCCTATATAGGCCCCCCACCCCCCCACCCAAAAAAAATTCGTTTCGGAGGTATAATAAATGTATAGCTACTTTATCATTTTACCAAAATAGATAGAACAGGACTCCTAAATAACGCCCAAAACTAAAACTAGATAAAACACTCAAAAATCTTTGGTAAGTCTGATATATTACCTGTGTAAAGATTTTGAATTATCACAGTTACTTCCCTTGGCTTCAGCAGCTTGGCTTGTAAATGTACCCTCATTCTCTCTCATTTTACATACATAATGGCAGATTTTATTCACTGAAAATATAACAATAATGATCATGCTAATATAGTTTTAGAAAGTAAAACATGAGCAAAATATTCACACATATTTACATTGTCATTAATGTAAGATTGCGCGCTTCATACATATTCATATCTGATTTTTAATACACAGTTTTAATAGGTCCAAAATACAATGTATTACTTCTTAAGCACATTGATATAATCATCCAACACTGACACGTAAGTGTTCTACTTAATTCTAGCCATTTTATAAAGCCTCAAGGTTGGTTATTAGTTAAAATGGTGTCATAATGGTCCTCGACCCCTTTCTTTTTTTTTTTACTATCAATTAATGTTGGGCCATATAAAAGCTCAGGCACAATAATTTTCTGATGTGAATCATTTAGATTTCAGTACCACAGGAAAACTTTTCCTATTCTTATACATAGCTAATATGACATTTTCTGATTCTTAAAATCACTTATATGACATTTTCTAATTTTTATAAATCACCTATGGGCTATTTTCAAAATAATGGCTAGTAGAGGTTTTCTTTAAATAAAAGAAGTATTCAACAGTCTATTATAACTGTTTTTTTCTCCAAACATGTAAAGCTATGTTATTAAGAAGTGTGTGAAGTTTTGTGGATTTTGCTTCAGATATAAAAAAGTTATGCTGAAAAAACAGGCCAAATATGTCAGGAGTGTAACAAAATAGCGTGACACTTTGCAAAATTTGCCATTTTCAAAACACTTCTAACAAAAACATTGACAATGCTGATAATTATAACTGTTTTTAAGATAAAGTAAAATATATGTCCTTCAAGTAAGTATATAACTTTATAATGAATTACTTATCAGAACATAAAAAATAAGTTTTTTATAAATAAGGGGCTAAAATATTTTTCACTTATTTTAAAAAAAAAAAAATCTGTTTTGGCGTACACTCTTAATAGCCCTTATAAAATTTTCAGTTTTTGATATTCAAAATTATGATATATATCTCATAATAACAGATAGGTAAAATACTTTTGATAAATTACTACTATTTCTATAGTTTTTCCTCTTCTAAATAAACTGGCTTAATTTTGTCAGGAGTGTAACATTTGGTATATAAATAGTAACAGTGATGTCATAAGTTGACACATATACATATAATGTATTTTTCCTGAAAGTCTGAGACTGGGAGTGATCATAAGTGACAATCATGAATGAAGATCATGGTTATATATTGCGAGCATAGATGACATGCAATTGTCAGGAGTGTAACGTAATTTGGTGAAATTTCCGCGTATTCTTTTATCCCTTTTTTCGAATGCATTATTGTTTTGCTGTGCAGAGTTTTTGACTAAAAGTGCAGTTCTGGGAATAAATATTCTATCTGGTGCATATAAGGTAAGTAAAGAATTATCTAAACTTCTAATTTTTATCTAGAAAGATCGAATTTTTGCATTTAAATCAAAATAAATGCTCTTTTTTTTTATTTCAAGTAACCAAGAATTTTTTTTTTACATTTATGCTTAAATAAAGATAGCAATAACCATTTATATGTAAAAATAAATATAGAATAGGGCAGGTTGTGTTGCTATCATAACTTGTTAACATATATGTGTATTTGTTACACTCCTGACCAAAAATGGTATTATTCCTTTTCTACAGAACAAATAGTAAATTAAGCATGGACAAATTAATAGTCAGTCTTCCAGCTATAAGAAGGTCAATAGAAAATATAAAAAGATCAAATACAGAGCAGAATAAGGCATCTTCATCCAAAGAAAGAGTAAGAAAGTATGAATGGTACATATGCTGACCATCTGTGTATCAGTGTTGCAAGTAAAGTCAAGGTCACACTTAGATGTCAGAAATTAACATAGTCTGTTATAGGGTGTATTTTGTGTCGGATCTAGAACTTATTCATAGTTCAAGGGATTTTGAAATAACTTGGCACAAAAAGTCAAAATAATAAGACAATATGTCAAGTACAACACCTGCACCCCTACCTCCTAGGTCAAGGTCACACTTACAGGTCAAAGGTTAACAGAGTCTGTTATTTGGTATATTCTGTGTTCCGTCAATTACTTCTTCATAGATTAAGGGATCTTGAAAATAATTGGCACAAATAGTCACAATGATTATATGATATGTCATGTGTAACATCTGTGTCCCTACCTCCAAGGTCAAGGTGACACTTAGAGGTCAAAGATTTGCATAGTCTTTTATAGGGTATATTTTGTGTCTAATCTATAACTTCTTCATAGTTCAAGGGATTTTGAAAGTACTTGGCACAAATAGTCTCAATAATAAGACATTATGTCATGCACAACACCTGCTCCCCTACCTCCAAGTTCAGGGTCACACTTAGAGGTCAAAGCTTAACATGATAGATTTTTAAATTCCATATTTCATTTTATTTTTTTTTAACAAATTCATTATTACATTTGCAGATCTAGTATTGATCATAATTTTGGACTGAATGTCCTGAGATCCATACCCCAATCTTTTGATTAGCACAATTTTATCCTCATAAAACTTCCCGAGGCGGGGGACGTTGGTAACTCTGTTACAAATTCTTGTTTAGATATAAACAAATTCAAGTGATCTTTGAATATCCAATTTGCAAATGACAGTTTTCAAATCAAATTAACAATACTATATTGGTAAAGTAACTTCTAATTAAAAAGCATACTTGCTATCTTCAGATAATTTGTACCAGATGATTATGTAGCTGTTGGTCTGACCTCACGCAGAAAGAAAAAGTTTCTTTATGTAGCCAAGGTAAATCTTTTATTAAACATTGGGTTCAAATTTCATAAATTATTAAAATACAGTTTTCTCATTAATGTTTGGATTTATTAAAAAGAAATAGAATAAACTATCTTAAAACATATCCTTATAAGATCTTCTTTTTGACAGGTTTTGCAGGTAGATGGGGATGTTCAGCTTAGATTCTTAGAGAGCACCAATTCTCAGGGGATCTACACATGGCCCAAGGCAGACGACATTTCATGGCAGTCTCCAGATGACATATTACGAAAATTATCACATCCTACATTATTGCCTGGTCGTGGGTTAAAAATCATGTTTGATATTACAGAACTTAAATTGTCGGAAAAACAGCTAACAGCTTGAGATGCACTTTTTGTCAGGAGTGTAACAGTAAATGGAACATATTTGTAACACATTTTATCATACAATCTAGTCATATGACCAATTTCAGGAGATCATATTTGAACTGTTTCAGTGTTCTATTGTTTATTTTGACAGACACTAATTCTTTCTTCATGTTGTGAGCCACTAGTATACATAATCATTTGTGATGGTACGGATTTGGGTGACTTTCTTAAAAGTATGTCAAAAATTGGAGACATCTTTTTCAAATTTGTTCAGGAATGTTTAAATGTCCATTAGTTACAATGTTTAAACAGTTTAGTTAATTGATATTGTTCATTTGTTTTTAGAATCTTGTTAATGATAAGCAGCTATACATGTCAGGAGTGTAACAATTTGTTACAAAAATGCTCATGTTTTCATGCTGATCCTGTGAAATAAAAATCATTATTTCTGCCATCATTTATTTAACTGTGTTGCTTGTTACTGTCCAAAGTCCAAGAATAGATCTATGTTTATAATAAGGATGCACCATTTTATCAGCAAATAAAACTTTCATGTTGTAAATATGAATTTCAATGGGGGAAAATGCAAAGAAAATCCAATTTGAAAAATATTTTATATTTATCGAGCTCATTTACACTTTTTTTTAGTATGACAACATTACAGCTATGAAAAATAGGCTTTGAAGCTATGCTTAATTTTTTTTTTGCAAAATAATAGACTTTGAAAAAGATCATGTATTGTTGTTCTTTTTTGCCTATACAGCTTAATAAAATCTTGATAAGAATTTTAATATTCATTTTTAGCTTAACACCTAGTTGAATTTGTACACTGTAATGGTTGGTCTTGGAAAGAAAACAAACATTTTTGTACTTCATGAAGTTTTCAATTCTAACATTTTTTCAACTTTTCTAACCATTATTTTGAAAGTAGCCCCTATGTGACATTTTCTGATTCTTAAAATCACTTATGTGACATTTTCTGTTTCTAAAAATTACTTATGTGACATTTTCTGATTCTTAAAATCACTTATGTGACATTTTGATTCTTAAAATCATTTATATGACATTTTCCGATTCTTATAAATCACTTATGTGGCATTTTCCTATTCTTATAAATCACTTATGTGACATTCTCCGATACTTATAAATCCCTTATATGACATTTTCAGATTCTTATAAACCACTTATATGACATTTTCAGATTCTTATAATCACTAAGATGACATTTTTTCAATTCATAAAATCAATTATATTGACAATCTACATGGCATTCTTTCACAATCTTGTTGTTCAATCTTTTTACTTTACACAGATAAGATGAGGGGCCATTCACTTAAATGAAAGGAAAAAATAAAACCTTAGTTTTCTTTTTTGGCTATGGGGGAATAGAAAACTTGATGTTAATTGAATTTTAGGAGAAAAACTGCATGAATTTACAGAATTATCTCAAGGGAAAGCCACAACATTTAACAGCTCATGCTATAGCAGGAGAAAAAGACCCGATAACAATATGTTACCTAATGGCATTTATTATCTATGTAGATGAAACTTATGATTCTAGAACGTATACAAAATTTATCTTGATTTCATTTTTACCCTACACGACCATAATATTTAATTGGAAGAACATTATTTTGATCTGACCGAGTTAACAATAATTAGATTAAAACAGGTCCAGACAATGTTGTATATAGATAATATATTACTTCAAATTTAATCAATTTGTACTCATTTTAGTTTTGCTGAACACTAATTTTTGTAATAAAATCAATTCCTGTATCTTTACAATCACATAATCATAACTTTGTCTCCATAATCTGAGTTAAAATAATCATTTAACCTTTTTTATCGACATATTATATATATTACTTTATCACATACTATCATGTTGAGACACATCATTTAATTATCATATAC